CATCTTAGATATTCTTGTTCAGCTTCTCCTAGGTGATATTTCTCTCATTTAGTTTATTGTTTTTTTTCAATCTGGAATAATTTCTCTACTTTCTGGTGGGTTATTTAGTCCTCCTTTTTATATTTATAGATATTCCACTCATGATGTATGCTTTCTCATTTTTATGGGGACTATATGGAAAACTATTCAAATAACTCACCTAAATGACTTAGCCATAAAATATTACACTCTGTTTTATTTTCCCAGTTTTGTACATGAAATGAACACATAGATGTTTTATTTTCCCTAGTGCTAAAGTGAAAGCTGTGACAATGCATAACAATCCTGGGAATGTCAGAAATGATCAGGGAGAAAGTAAAACACTGAACAACGACAGCAAAAACAATAAAACTAAATTATTCAGAAAAAAGATCAACACTCCTAAATAGCAACTACCCTTGTGGAAAGATGTTTAGAGCTAATGCAGATTGTTCTTTGATTACATTGAGTCATTACGTTGTAAGCTACCAGGAGCACAGTCCTATTCATCTTCATCATCTGCATTGATTGGCATTGAGTTTTATACATAATATGATCTCCAGCAGCATCTGCTAAATTGAATGTGGACTTCTAGCCAAAATTGCATTTATATAATGAAATATATGATAACATTCTACTAAGTTTTTTTAAAATGTATTTTGTGTGCAACTCTTATTGCTGAAGTGGAAGAAATGTTATATATAACAGGGATATCAAATTTTGCAAAAATATAAAAGTTTATAACAGTTAAAAAAGCCCTGCCTATTTTCTCCTTCTTAGCTCACAGTGCTACAGAGCCTATCCTCATTGTACAACCAAAGGAGTCAATAAATCAATAAATCGTAGAAGTCTAATAAACATGTATGACAATACCTCTCCTTTTTTTGATAAAGGGAATTATGGATGGACATTATTATTAGAGAAAAAATGGTAAGCGTGGATGTGGTAAATTGATAGTTTGTCCCTTTAAAGAAAAGTGTATCAGTAAGCTTTCTTGTCAGTAGGACAAAATATTGGACATTCACAATTTAAGGGAGGAGAGGTTTATTTTGGCTCACAGCTTCAGTATGTTCAGTTCATGGTCTTCTGGCTCCAAGGTAGAAATAGCATGGTGTCAGATCAAGATGGAAGAAAGCAGCTCAAGCCATGGTAGCCAGCAAGCAGAGAGGGAGAAATCAGGGGCAAGAATACTCCTTTCTAGGTCCTTCCCATAGTGACCAGCCCCTTCCAACTAAGCCCCAGGGGAACATTTGAGATCTAAACCACAACACAGAGACGGGGCTTTATTCATCCCTTTCTCAAATTTCCTGAATTATATGTGAGGTGTGATGGTGACTCTGAAGCATAAAACCATTTGTCCTAGTGATTTACAGAAGTCCTTTATTATTTTATTTCTAATGCAAAAGTTAACTGTTCTAATGCTTTGAGGAGGCAAGGAAAGGGACTTGAAAGATGTCTGAGATCATCAAATCCAGTGGGAAGATCAGAGAAAGAAGAAGCACAAATAACCGCCCAGGAGAATTTTCCTGCTTGATCAAAGGGGCCAGTGAATATCACAGGCAGGGCCCAAGAGGAAATAAGCAGCTCTCAAAGATTTACTGTGCCTTAGAGTCAGTTCATGGAGAACTGTCTGAGAGCTGCATCACCATGCAAAGAAATTCAGGAGGGAGACATCCACAACCCACAAATGGAGCATTCAGCAACAGTACTTTCTGATCTCAATCTCACGTACATATTTTTCATTGCAGATAAGTTTGGCAAAGTGTTCCAGGAAAGGGACTGCCCAGTCCTGGGACTTCTACACCTGGCTTGCTTCTCTGTAACAGGAGTCTCCCAATTCAAGATACAAATCCTCCAAGAGAAACACAAAAGTCATCCTGCTCTACAAAGCCTTCCACAAGTAGTCTTTCCACACCTGACAGAAGATGACAGTAGGAGTATAATAATGTCTGGGTTCAAGAAGTATTTATTCCATCAACACTGAGATTTTTTAAATAGATTAGTCTATAAGTCACTAAGTATGCTGAAGATATTGAAAGGGCATTTGATATTGTTGATGGGCAACATTTAATTCTATAGTCCTCCTCCCAATTATAACTCCTAAGAGGTGAATTCTCAATAAAGTTGAAAGCACTTACTAAAATAACTCTTTCATGTTTGTAGACTGCTAAATTCAGACTACCGATGAAAACTACTATATGCATAATGGAATTAGAGGACATTTTGCAACTATATCTGCTTTAGTACATAACATTTACTACATACAAAGAGTAAAAATATAAAAAAAAATTTAGTGGAAATGAATACATAAGGTGAAGTCTTGATAGAGCAAAGGTAGAGGACATATCTTAGGGTTAAAAAAACTTTGAGGAAGAAGAATATTTAGCCTCAAAACCATATAGTACACAACTAATTCATTTGTAAATTGTTTGAAAACAGGGTTTGTAAATTAACATGTAGCACATTCACAGAAGATTAATAAATTAATGTACTAATCTTAATCAATGTGTCCTTTAATACTGACATAAACTATCTTCAATTTTACTAATAGAAGAAAAATAATAGATTTTATGGATTGCATGGTAGCTCCTTCTTAGCAAACCTAGGTCTAGCCTCTCTAACAACCTCAAGAAAGTTTGAGGGTTTCTTGCAAGATGAAATGCAACCTGAATCATGCTTTGTGTTGCAATGCTTCTGCAAGAGACATAATCCCACATATGCTGGTCTAATTGTACAGATTGAGTTTTTATTTCTGTTACAAAGTACAACTACAGCCATACTACAATTTCATTCTGCAGCAAATCTATGATGAGTTTGTCTCAAATATATGGGGAACAAAATAGAAAAAACCTGATATATTAAGACAATTGTCCAATTGATAAAATGAAACTGGTTTGATTCAAAAAGCCATCTTTTTCAATGAATAACTTTTTTTTTTAAGTTTCTAAAAACATTTGATTTAGTGGGCTGGGGATTTAGCTCAGTGGCACTGAGTCTGCCTCGCAAGCACAAGGTCCTGAGTTCAATCTCTTGTACCACAAAAAAAAACAACAACAAAAAAACCCAACAACAAAAAAAGCATTTGATTTTTTTAGTTATCTGTCCATATCTATGGGTTCCACATCTATGTATCCAGTAACTACAGATAAAAAATAGTCAGAAAAAAATTACTGCATCTGTTCAGAATGTGTACAGACTGTCATTACTACATACAAAAATGTAGCATAACAACTATTTACATAACATTTAGGTTGTACTAGATTATATAAATATGTAATCTGGATATCATTTAGATAATATAGCAGAATATGGCTAGTTATATGCAAATACTGCCCCAATGTCTTTAGGGGCTTGAGCAACTGTATCTTTTGCTATCTGTCCTAGAACCAATCCATAAATATCAAGGGACAACTCTCTATAACTGATACTATAAAAGATTTCATATTATCAAAAGCTTTAAACATTTATTTTAATGCAAAATTTGAGTCACTTGAATATATAATTATTTTGCATTTCCTATCTCAAACAGTACTTCAGAAAGTACTTCTGGAGATTCCTATTTTAGGTGACATGACTATTTTTAGTATAAATCAAAACCTTTCACAGAGTTCGCCAACAACCTGCTTTAATATTACATGTTTTGAATAAGGATGACATATCTGTTCTCCAGTACTAGTATGCACCGGAAGTCACTTGGAAAGTCTATGAAAACATGGATTCAGGGTGGTTTCACAGATCCGTGGTGGGGGCCGAGGTTTTGCCCTGCTGACAGTCTGTCAGGTAATGGTGGTACCATTAGTCTGGGCACCACACACACTATTCAAGAACCAATACAAACAGAAATGAAGTTGTCGATAAAAATTCTGAGACTTACTTACAAACTATAAGTAACTTTTAGGGAAAAAAAATCCAATAACGTCCATGTTGCAATAAACTTCAATCATTACTAATACAAAATATTTTTGCTCACATATACTAGCAACTTTTTTTAGGTAATTAACAAATTTCCAATTCGAAATATGCTGGATGCTAAAGAATCTCCATCTGCTTAATTTCACTTTGGCAAAACACAATATTTAATGTGAAATAAAGTATTATGGAGACAGTAATATAAACACTACAAGTAAAATTTTCAATCTATCTGCACATGGGCACACATACGAGACTGCGTTTTGATATAACATTCATTGGGTTATGAAATGTTCTAAATATTCTACCACCTAAGAAATGTCAAACCTCCTATCAGACATATAAATCAGTTAAAAAAACAGGTGAACTTTGATTAGAGCTTTTGGTTAAAAATATTATAGTATTTCCTAGTTTATTAAAACCTAGTTTTTGCCATCATTGTGAAATCTCAACATCTCAGCATATTTGTATTATTTGTAGATACACTTCAAACATATTTCTGATTCTCTGATTCTGTAGTACCTAAATGTTATCTACTTAGTAGCGTGGGAGAAAGTGCTGCACAAAACTGAACAACAGCAAAAGTATTCCAAAAAAGTAAAATATGTTTATAGGCTTGATGCCTTGAATTTTTACTTAAGATGCTGCAATAGATATATGTTGTTTAATGTATGTTGCTTAATATTACATTTTGTAATGCATATTGTATTAATTTTTTTCCTTTTATATGTGTGATATGTCTAATGTATTTCACAAGTTGGAGACTTACATATAACTTAGTGTTGTATATGGTGAAGAAATTTACTGGTCTCACTTGAGATTTCTAATTATAAATGCCATATCTTTAATTTTTGGCATTTTCCAAGGTTCAGTGTGAGCAGAGACACATTCTAGAGCACAATCAAGGTTATGAGGCAGGCATTGGCCCCCAATCATGACAATCATGAAAATCTCAAAATCACTTTCATATCCCATCCTATCCTTCTTCAGTCACTGACCTTGACGCCTGACCTCTCCTGAAGATTTACAATCAAGAAATTATTGTTATCATTTTCTTAAACTCATATACTTACAATCAGGAGGCATCTTTTCCATAAATACCCTGTAATATTCTTTAAGAAGTTCAAAATTTTCCTGATTAATATTTTCTTGCAAAGAAACATCACCAAATCTAAAAATCAGAAAAAAAGAAAGCAGTTATAAATTTATAAAATAGTTCTAAAAAGTAACACTTTTTTAAACCTTTTCTTTTTACATGGATGGCAATAATCTAAGGAAGAGTCTCTCTCCGTTTTTAAGCAACATTGCAACATGGTGATTTTAAACAAATTCCCATCTCCACTGGCCCAGATTCTACCAATCTCTTTGGACAATACCAAAATAGTCTCACATCATCAAATGTGAATGCAGATGAAACGCCATATGTAAAATGTCATCCCCTGTGTCATGCATAATTAATACTCAGCCAAAATCAGGTTTCCTACCCTACCCTGCACCTCCTTTGCAGGGTTCCATCTCTGCATGTATAAAAAATCCTCTGTGTCGGTTTTTCATCTCTTAAATCCTCCTCAGAACCCATGGCAACTTGGGGAGGGCTCCAGAAGACCAGGACTAGACACTGCACTGCACACACTCATGCACACTATTGGTGGTTCTAGGTACAAGTTCAGCCACACAACCCCAGGAATGGTTCACTTTTGCAGACATTTTTCTTCTGCCCATGAAGGCCTCCACTTCTGTACCAGTCTCTTCTTTAAGGAAAACAAAACAAAACAAAACTTTCTTCCTACATATCACTAAGGGTTGTCTTCTCTTTGAGAATTCCCTATTTCAAACTTAAAGTCCATTTGTCTTTCTGTGAAAGGATGCTGTATAAGTGGCTTCCAATACTGATTTCCATCCAAGTCTGTATTTGCAGATGTTAGTATAAATTTCCATGTGCTTTGTCAGCCAAACTTCAACTGGAACAAAACTAAAAACTGAAACCACTTCTTTTTATGGATAATTTCTAAGCTTGCCTCCTATTTTGTCATTATGTAGGTTCAAAGATGAGGCACCACTTTAGATTTTTTTCTCACTATTAATTGATCTTTTCACATTTTCTGGTCTCACCTCATTCTTTTTTCTTTACCTCCACTACTATCTGTTCCATATTTAATTACTCTCCTAAAGCCTCTCAAATACTCTAGGATTGTGCATTGAGCTTCCTTCCCTTCAATCTGTCCTATACAGCATGCTCATATTGTTCATTCACTCAACAAATATTTATTTAATAACAACTGTGTACTAGCCATTGTGCCATGTAATAAATGAAATCTTGGTAAAGTTAACCTACCCCACATTTCATCATAGCAGCTCACTGAACTTCAAGGAGTCTCCACTCTCCCTAACAATGTTTTCCCCTTAGTTTAACATTTAATTCTCTACAAAGGCCTCCAATGACACTTGTAGGAATATGGTTATACCTTTCTCTTCCACCAGCAGTATTTTCACTCCTTTGAGACTTTTCAGTTCCTATCCTCCTCTGACTAGAATGTCTTACCTTCATTCTTGGCCAAATTAAGTCCTATTCCTCTTTCAAAGCCAATGAAAGGCTCACCTCCTCTCTGAGACCTGTCCCATGAACTCAATTCCCATCTGTGAATTATTTTCTTTCTTGCCTCCTTCCTGTCTGATTACTGAGGGAGTTAAATGTAATACAATGTTTGTTAGCTTGTCCTCTGTACTGCATAGTAGATCTTTCAGGACAGGGATCAGATTGCATGCTTCTTGTCACCTTCTTTCTCTCTATGTCCTACACTTTGGAAGAGCAGTGCCTAGTCTAGCCTGTGTTCAACATCCATACTAAGTTAATTGTGGAATACAGGAAGATAATCCCAGGAAAATCTACAGAGGAATTTCCCTAGACTGAAAATGTACCCTTTATCAAACAGTGTAATCAACCAGCATTTTAAGGATATCACCTTTGCTGAAGTAATATTAGTGTTATGCACTGAATGTTTGTTTCCTCACAAAATATGTGCTGAAAACCTAACTCCCAGGGTAAGGGCATGTAGTGATGGGGCCTCTAAGGAAGCACCAAAAGTTAAATAAAGTCATGAGGCTAAGCTCTGATCCTGTAGGATTAATGTCCTTATAAGAAGTATATATACCTAGCCTCACCCTAACCCCCACGTATGCACAAGGAGGTCAGGTGAGCACACATTGAGAACTAAAAGGTCAGCCATCTATAAGCCAGGAAAGCTCCTTCACCAGAAACAGAATCAGCCACAACTGCACTCTTGCACTTTGCAGCCTCATCAACTGTGAGAAATATCATTTTGCTATTGTTTTTAAGCCACCTACTTAGTCCATGGTGTTTTGAAATAGCAGTCCAAACTAACCAATAGAATTAACATTTAACTGTTTAAAAATAGTCGCATAAAATATGTTTTGCTTTGAGGTAAATATTACAACTAGATATAGCAGCGTACCTAACCTTCAGACATTGCCTAGTGAATCCCCAAATTCTGAACCAGAAAACAAAAGATCAGAGAACAGAGAGAAAGTGATCTACTCAGATCAATATTTGGATGTCAGAGTGCTATTCAAGCTCAGCCTTGCTGCTTCCCTGAGCACTTTCCCTAGCTTGCCATTTTGTCCCCTTTTCAAGTCTGTGTTTTATAGTTTCCAGATATGAAAAATTGTATTTTAATATACAAGTGAGAGGGGAAGGGAAAGGATACTTTCAATAAATTGACTGACAACAGAAACAATCACAGTGACATGGATGATGCAAATCAGTCCAATCTGAACGCTAACTAATCCTTGAAAATGAGGCCATACTCTTAAGAGAAATAAATAGGACACCCATGTGTAAATACCGAGTAGTTTCTCTAGTGTGAGAAACTGAAAGTGTAAATAAGGATTAAAAGGATTAATAACAAATAATTGATACTTTGAAATAAGAAAAGGTCCAAAGGGGTAGGGGTGATGGGAAGGGAAGGGGAAAGGAAAGAAGGGAAAGGAAAAATTATGAGAAAAGAAAAAAAATGGAAACTAAGTCTATGTAAATAGGGAAGGGTGCAGGGGGTGAAGGGTGCACAGGCAATGGGGAAAAAAATAAAAACCAAGATACATCATGTACAGGTACAAGCACCCAATGATAAATATAGATGTATTGTATACCTACAATGTATCAATAAAAGAATTTAAGAAGAAAGAAAAATGCTGACTAGTCCCTGAAAAGTCGTGGAGGAGTCTCATGTCTCTCTTGAGATCACATTTGCATGCCTTAACTTATTAATTCAACCCCAAACAGTCTAATGTGTCAGAGAGGACACCATTTTAGCATGGTCATACCCTTCGGCCCAAGTTGCATAATTCACGTTCAGGAATATCATTCACTATGAACACTAAATTTGCTGTGAGAATAAGATAGATAGATAGATAGGAATATAATTTGATCTTTGCTATTGATTTTCAGAAGTACTTCTTTATCAAAGAAAACTCATACAATATAGTGAATAAAATTATACTGATTTGTGTGTGCGATAGTGAAAAGGACTAATAGTTTTCACATGGTTTGGAATTCTATCCATAATACACAGCTTAATCATTGACTTCTTTACTGACAGGTGAGAATGATGAAAACCTTTGTATCCCAGAAAGTATCTTTTGAGGAAGATGAATAGAAGAGGAAAAATTTTGAAAATAATAGAGAAGAGCAATCATTTGGAGCATCTTTGAATTTAATAGGATTATAATTACAGAGTTTTATTTTAGTAAAAGGCATTAGTTAAAAGGTAGAAATGTGCTTAACACATCATGCCAAGGAACAGGCAAGGCATTTTAAAACTCCCTAAACAGGAAGGAGACACTGGAGAATGAACTGTATACAAGAAGACATTTTAATAGGAAAGATTATCAGCCTTTCCAAAATTTGCCTATGGGTGAATTTCTCCAGTTAGATGATAAATTCTTGCTCTAAAATTATTTACAACTTAAAAATTGAAATTTGAGTTGCTATTTACATTATCCACAATCCCCACATGTGAACTATATATGATGCAAATATTAAATTCTGTAATCACATAAGTATTTTTTGACAGTGACCCCAGGAATAGCATACAATCATTGTTGTTTGAGAAAGCCATTTTAAAAAGATGTGCCAACATTACTCCACAGTAGCTATTACAATAAAAGAAACAAAAGAGCAAAAAAGACTGTGTTTTAGGGCCAGAAAATTAAATTTGTCTATCAACCAAGCTAATTGTTCATGCACATGAACATAAAATTTCTGAAATTTGATATTCATGTAGGTATTTGGAAAAATAAATAAAGATAATCTATGTGAATACTTTGGTATTGGGATCAATATTTTCATGAGTGTCATTGACACACTTAAATTTGATTTGGGCCTGAATTCCTTAAACATACTTTATCTTGATATATCAAATACTTTGTATACTGATTAAAAACTAAATGTCTTCTAAATATGTCTATGTGCAGAAACATGAGATTTTTCAGTATTCCCTGGAAAGGAAAACAGAAAAACTGAATAACATCCTTACACCCAAAGCTTACCTCTCAGCAAGAGTTTGCTGTTCATTAATTCCAACATTAAAAAGCACTGGATAGACATACAGCAACTGTCCTTCTTTGATCTGAAGAGGTAGAGACTCAAACATTCTGGCTGGAAGTTTGACCTCTACCACATAGTGTTCACTGAAGAAGGGAAAGGGCAGAGGTAAGAAAATTACTTATTGCATTTGTTTTCTGTTCTTTTAGATTCATTAGAAAGAAACAATAAAAGTTGGAATATTGCACTGATGAAGTCTTGGGCTGCTGTGTACTTATTTTCTATTCATTCACTCAAGAAATATTCTATAGTTTCACTATGAAATTAGGTGGCACAAAGAATTATAAGGATTTGTTTACATATTTGATTTCTTTACATTACTCATTAGTTCCATGAGGAAAGGAGGAATATTTGGTTCATTTATTTAATACTTAAGGCTGTGTACATATTCTCAATGTTTGTTCACTTGATATTTTAAAAATCTCATCAGTCTCAAGAATAAGTAATTCAATAAAAGATTTTGTAATACAGTGAGGCCTAATAAACCAAACCATTTATAACATTTCTTGGCATAGCCCAATTGCTATTCTTATTGATGAACCACCCTGTTTGTAATGGCTTGATGGAAATGAAATGGCTTAATTATTTAAGAAGGAACCTTTTGGAATCTTGCTCATTTTCCAACACATACGTAATCGAGAAACATTTTTATTGAAAATTTCCATTCAAAATTACCCTTAATGTTTAATGTTGAAAATTTAAATTAGGCCTCATAACATATGTTAACCAAAGCAGCGGCTTGTGTATTTTCAAACTTGACATGCAATATGAATTGAGTATAGAAAGGTGAAGGGTTTAGTTTAGAAGTTTGGAAGGTCCATGTGTTTCTAGAACTGCATAGAGTTGTGGGTTGTAATACATGTATTGAAAAAAGGAACACAGGACAAATTGTGAGTCTCAGTGAAAATCTTTTAAATTTCTCCTACTGGAGTATCGATAAGCACTAAGGATCATTGACTTTCATGCTTTTTCCTAGCTGTGAACCAGACTTGACAATGACCATGAGCATCCACAGGGATGTTAGCTTTGCCCTCACATTTATGAGTGCATTCTTTTTCTTGTTTAATTGCTCCCAGTACTCTCTACTGCAGCCTAACAAAAGGGTGATGGTTATTTCAAACTTTTCAAGAATAGGGAAGCATCACTGCTTTTATTTAAAAGTTGCTCTGATAGTGAAGTGTGTCATAAAAATTTTGTTAATAACTTTTTATCAGCTTTATTAAGACATAACTGACATAAATGCTTACACTTTAAATATACAATTCAGAGTTTTAGCAGATTTACAGAGTTGTACATACACCAGTTTTAGAACATTTCTATCAGCTTAAAAATATCTCTCATGCCTGTCAATGCCACTCCCACTTGTCAGCCCCAGGAAATCTTACAGTTTTTATTTTTTGGTGTATTCCATTGAATGGATACATACAATGTGTAGTCTTTTCTCTCTGGATTTCCACTTAAGTTCTGAAGTATTTTTTCTCTTTTTCTTCAAGCAAGATCCTATTGTATGGGTACATCATACTGGATTTTATCTACACATTTGTTAGTTGATGATTACTTGGATTATTTCATGATTTGGGCTATTATGAAAAATGCTGCTATGAACATTTAGGCAAAAGTTTTTGTGTGAAAAAAGCTTCATTCTCTCTTGCTAATACACCTAAGAGTAACATAGTAACTTTATATAAAAGAAATTGCTTATTTCCAAAGTGGCTGTGCCATTTTACATTGCCACCAGCAACATATGAAAAGTTTCTGGTTTTCCACATCTTCATCGATACTTGTTATGATTTGACTTTTCAATCTAGTGTAAGTTGGTATCTAATTGTGGATTTAACTTCTGTCTCTAATGATGTCACAGTTTAGATCTAAAATACTCTTTTGGACTTTGCCTGCATCAGATGATCTGCTAAGCTTCCCTTAAATATCTTTAGGACAGTGTCAATTTTTCACCTTTGATAATAAACTTCCCAGGAATATACAGAATTGTACTACTTCCCAGCTGTGTGTATGAGCAATTTCATTCCTTTTTAGGGGTGTGTGTGTGTGTGCGCGCGCGCACGTGTGTAAGAAAGTCATCTTTCATTCAACCATGTGGCTTTAGGAATCTTTCACAAAAAATTTAAAATAATGATTGCATGTTTACCATAGGTAGGAAAACAAATTTATTCTGAACTTTCTTTAGATTATCTCTCTTATCTATCTGAATAGTATTCTCTCTTTTGGACACTTCCACCTGAGAGTGTTTTAAATTTTAAATAACCTCATGCAGTTTATAAAAGTGTTAACATTACAATGGCTAAAATTTTAAGAACTTCTGATTGAAACAACTTACTATAAGACATAATTCTTCTACTGGAGGTATACATTACATGCCAACATTTCTCTTAATTATTTCTGATATTTTGCACGTCATATATTGACCTTTGAAGCTCTTTCTTTAAAAGCCTTCTCGGAAATCTCACAGTCTGGGTGTGAATTGTCAAAAATAATTAAGAAAAATGGTGGTATATGCCCTTGACATGGGAATATATCTTCCCTAAAATGTTGCTGCTTTTAACTGAATTTAAAGTCATCTCAAGAATTATGAAGCTATTAACTGAACGAATCTCGTAAAAGTAAAAACATTGAGAGCTCTAAAGTAGATAGGAATAAAGAGAAAAATGTCCTTCTTATGCATGCTACTATTTTAAATTTTTCATATTTCATGGAGGAACATTATCACATTCACCTTAGTACAATGCACAAGCATTTATGAGACTGTTAGCACTTTTCAAAACTTTCTCCACCAGAAAGGAGAAGAGAAAAAAAGAAAATTCCCAAAGAAACTTGAATTCTTCTTGTCTCCTTTCTTTGCCTCATGTCTGAGAAACTAGACTTTTAGAAATGGGCAGCACTCACCGTCTTCCTGTTATAACTGGCAAGACATCATTGGATTTGGCTTCAATTATTTTAAATGCTACTTTCTTCAAATCAGAAATGCCAACAGCCATGTCCTCTAGCATTCCGATTTCATCACCTAAATAAAGGAAAAGGTGCCTTGGTACAAACATACTATTTAAAGGAAATGTCACCAGCCACTATACCTCTCTGCTGGAATTTGTTCTAGTATTTTAGTGAACAAGCTTTTGAATACAGCAAATCCATTCTAGACACTTTTCTTCAGAGGCTGAAGGTTTCTATCAGCAAAAAGGACCCTTTTTAATGAACTCTACAAGTCAATGTACCCTTTAGAAAGGAAAAATGTACACTTTCTCTGGGTAGCTGGAGAGAGATTTTTAACCCCTTCAGGAAACAAAGTATCATGGAGATGTCTTTTTATTGGTAGCATTGATGTTTGATTTCGAGAAACAGAGACAGCTGAATTGATGATCACTGACCCACCCCTCTCTATATAATGACAAATAAAGCCTGCGAAGTAAATAATTAAGATTCTAGATCAGCACAATCCAAAGAGAAATAGAATGAGCTAAATAAATAATTTCAGACTTTCTTGTAGTCATCCTTTTAAAAGAATAAAATTAAAAAGTAAACTTAATATTAACAATACATTCTACTTAGCCCAGCATATCCCAAACGCCATTTCAAATGTACATGAATATGAAATTATTAATAAATGATATAAAATATTTTACTAGTCTCTGGGTGTGCATGACTAGAACATATTGATTTGGACGAGACACATTTCAAATGCTCCATATACACAAGAGTGCACTGTACTGAGCACTGCAGTTCTAGATCTTACATGCAGACTTCTAACTCCAGTTATTGAAACTATGTTAGCAAAGAGTCTTTTTTATTATAAAGAAAACCAGCTGGCTTCTCAGGAGTCCACACTGAAATAATCCATAATTCTGTTTTTAAAACATAGTGGGAGCTAAAAGAAGTTAGCAGGTCAATGAATGCAAAAATTAAAAGTTACATGAGTTTTGTAGTACTTGTTACATAGAGGTTTACTTACTGTTAAGCTTACCTGCAAAGATGATGTCTAAATACCTTATGACTAGGGTTGCAATTTTAAACCTGCATGAAAGCAATACTCACTGTACGTGCTCAGCAGTCCCTCATACTGCACTATCAAGCCCACTGTATGCAGCTGCTGTAGGAATTCAGGGTCATGCAAACTTGTGTGCAGTTTGATGATAAAACCACAAACCAATCCAGCAAGCTAAAAAAAATTATTGAAGGAATTTACTGGGATTAGAAAGCTCAATTTTTAAATAGTTCAATTTTTAAATATTTTAATATTTGAGATATTATGGATTTAATAAAAAAATTCTCAAGAATGTGTAACAAAGCTACTCCTATTTCTACAAATATATCAAGATAATTTGACAGTCTTTGACTTAGGAAGGCAGTGTATATAAGGCTTAGGAAAATCACTGTTGAAAAAGGATAAATGCGTGGATTTTGGAGTCAGGGTAATGGGTCTTCAAATCATATGTCTACTATTTCTAACAAAGACACCATAAAAAGTGATCTAGTACTTCCAAATAGTATTACTGCTATTGTTTGGACATGTAGAAAACAGAAGATAGCATGGGTTTCAGAGAATCACTGAATGAATACAATGAAAATTATGTATAAGGGATAGCAAAATGTGTGGTGCCTGCTTAGCTCCAGGTTCTACTGGACCCCATGGAATAGTGTAACAGGAAACAGTATTTTAGTTAAAAGGTTCCCCTTCTAAGGAAGATCCACAAAGGAAGGCTCTTTGTCTCCTTCTTTCCATGGCTCTGTCTATAAACTCAGCCAGGGAGTAGAGGCAGGTGAGGATGAGACATGCATCAGCACAGCCCTTGTGACAAGTTGGCTTGGCATCATAAATAGGGACAGATGTCAGCCAAGAGGTGATTCCATTAGACCTCCTGCGCTTGCCTTGCTGCGCTGCAAAATTATTCCATATGCAAAATGAGAGATTGTTGTGAAAACTTGGTTCATGGGGGAACTGAATAAACAAGGTGCTGCAAACAGATCCCCTTTGCTAAGTCCTAGCTTGCTGCCTACTGTCCAAGCCAGCAGCCCCTTCCCTGACACTGCAGACAGACCTCAGGGCTACCCTTTCCTTCATAGATTCCATGCCCTCTTCAAGAATATGCACATTTCAGAGACTTGGCCATCTCTTTTTAGAAGGACAAAAATGGTATCCACGAGATGTTCAGCTGATAGTCATTCTGAATAAGAGAAATTGGGACCCTAAACCTTAAGAAAAGCATCTTTTTAAAAAGAAACCCACCAAAAGAAGGACTCTACTTGCATCAAATAAAAAATGTTAATGCACCAGTGCTGTTGGGTACAAGTAACAAGGATGGGACCTACTGCTTGACTGAAGACGATGTCCCTCCTCAGAGTCAGCATCAGACACTGGGGCAAGCTGTAGGCAAGCTCCTGCAGCAGCACAAATGTCAGGGACTGCTTGGCACGGCTCACCACTTCTCCCATGCAGTCCTTCAGCGTGAGGATGAGGGGATGCAGTTGTTCATACCAGTCCTCTGGAGGAGGGGGCAAGAACAGAGGGATGGATCAACGGAGGTCTTGAACCGGTCTAGAACCAATTTGCTACATTTTACAGTGTAGTATGTCTTATGTACAATTCCTATGTACAACTGAGGATCCGTGTGAGCATTAATCAAGACATGTAACCTTAAATGAAAGATGAGCATGTGGGTCAGCAAGCTGAGGTGAGAAAACACATCTGCATGTGGGTGGCACCAACCAACAGCTTGGAGCCTGGATGGGATATAAAAGGGGAAAAAGAAGGAAGTGTGTCTGTTTCAAGGAGCTCTGGTCTTCTTCAGTGGGTGCGTTCTTCACTGCCATTATCAATCTCCAAGTCTCTAGTATTTTCAGCCTTCCAGTGCAGACTCCCAGCATGACACTCTTGTGAACTTCCAGTCTTTGACCTTGGACGAGTACTGTGGAATCCTGGATGCCTCTTATTCTTCAGCTTCCATCTGCTTGGGCTGAGCAGCTACTGGATCCCCTGGCTTTCTAGTGCACTGTGGACTCTCCTGCCTCTGATCCTATAAGCCTAGCTGATTAAATCCTCTTGCATAGTTACACATATATTTTCTATTGATTCTGCTCTTCTAGAGAACCCTAACTAGAACAGCTTCATGAAGATCTTTAATTCCAGCGAGTAACCTGAACTCTATAAGTCTACACCCAGCCACTGAGTCTGTACATTGAGATGTGTATAATACAGTTACAATGGGTCTCCTTTGGTCTCTCTGCTTATCTCCAACCTGGGCACTGCCTTGTGTTGTTAGTGGATGGTGCCGCTAAACTCTCCTATGCTGGAAACAGAAATTCTACTGACTTCTGTCATGGATTCCACGGTCACTTGGCCATTAAATTAGTTCTACTGCTGTAATAGCCCATCAAACATCATCTTCTCCTTGCCCTGGCCTAGCGTCACTTCTGCTCTTTCTCAGATTATTTTATTGCCTTCCCTAACAGACTTTGCTTCCTCCAGTCATAACAGTGCCCAAGCCCCTTCTCTACGGTGTTGCTAGAAGTTTTCTAATCAGTTTGGATCTTATCCATTTACTCAGCTCTGATTCCTAAAAATCAAAAGGAACTCCTCAAAAAAGAAGAAAGGAAAATACAACCCAAGCCAAAACAACTGCAGCAACAACAACCAAACCCCAAAGCATTCAGAATGAACTGCAAACTCACAAAAGGTCCACTGTTACATGACCTCTGCCTACTTGTCCAGTTCTATCTCTTAGCACTTTACTTGTAGTCCTGTGTACCGTGCATACTGAAAAACATATGTTTCCCCAAACCTTCTGCACTCTGTCATTTCAGTATCTGTCTTACTTATGTTTCCATCTCTGAGACATAATGCCCAACACTTGAAATTAAAGGAAGTAAGGCTTATTTTGTCTTACATTTTCAGTTGATGGTCTGTTGGCTCCAAAGCAGAAATAGGATGGCAGAGGGCGTGGTGGAAGAAAAGGTGTTTAGGACACGAGGGCCAGGAAGCAGAGAAGGAGGGGAGATGGAGGCAAGGCGATATACCCTCCTAAGTCATGACCCCAGTGACATCCCTCGAACTATGCACCTCCCAGTAGCAAGTCACTTCTGAACTTAGCAGAGGTCTAATCCACTACTGAGTAGAGCACCCCATGATCCAATTACTTTGCAAACGTATGAGGCTTTGGCTTTGGGGCACACTGTATCTAAACCATAACAGTATTTTGGCAAATCCTATTTCATCTTCTAAAACACTCTTTCTGTACTTCCTTATAGATATTTTATCTTCTCTGAAAACTTAATTCAGGATCTCTCTCCTGCAGAAGTCTTCCCTGAACACCCCTATTCCGTACCCTCTTCTCTGATGTTTAAGTTGAATTCACTTCCCTTTGTACCAATTGTTTTGTACCCTTACTACTAAGACTAATCACACACTACTTACCTCTGCAAGCAAGGTAGCTTACTGAGGGAGAGGAATTTACTTTTTTTTTTTTTTTAATCACAGAATCCCCAGAACCTAGCACAGTGCCTCCTGTGTAACAGAACTGGCAAATTTCAATTGAATGAGTAAAGTTATGATAAATAGCAAAAGTTTTTAAACATGCAGACAAGTATAAGAAAGTCATTTTTTTGCAGTATCTGGGATTCAAACAGCTTTCATTCAAACAAGATCAAAATTGACCAGATCTGTGCTATTCATATGCCTAGATTTCTAAAATGCATCAGTTACAGTGGTTCCTCTGTTCATGAACTTAATTCTTTCCATCATTCTGGTCCCAGACTGGACCAGATGAGGACCAAATCAATTTTCCACATAAGGTCAACCTTGAACCTTACCACTGAATTTGGTTCTTTTTTTTTTTTTTTTTTTTTTGGTACTGGGGATTGAACTCGGGACCTTGCGCTTGCGAGGCAGGCGCCGGAACCACTGAGCCAAATCCCTGGCCGTTGAACTTGGTTCTTATCCAGTTCAGTTTGTGACTGGAATAGTTGGAAAAAATTAAGTTCGAGAACCAAGGGACCGCTGTATATAATTATGACTTGATATATTACATAAAAACAGATGATATACTATTCCAGTTTATTGTGAGAGCAAAAACTCTGACAAGTGTCAAATATGAATTCTGCACTGTGTGACATTCCGTTAATATATAAATAAATTAACAATAGGGTGAAAATTATGATTTAATAGGAATGAGTACATACTACAAAATTAATTATGAAGCAAGATTTGAAATGGCATGATCTTCTCAGCACAAAGTGCAAGCATCATCATGAGTGATTTGAGTAGTCAATAACCAGTTACGACCTTGAAAGAGTTATAGGGAACAATAAAAAGAATCACAATCACTGTTGTGCCATGTCTATTGTCACTTTATTATATGCTGAGGTGCAACAGACTAGTACAATGGTAGCAAATATAATGAATGATCTGAACTTAATAAAAAGACATGCTTTTATTAACACTATGCAAATGCTTGTGTAACGCCATAGTACAACATACATTAGGAACATTAGGTGTTATTTTTAAAACATTGCAGACTGAAGTTTTATCATAGAAATAAAAAAACAAGGGAGATAGAAGTATTAAGTGAAGACCTATTCAATCTGTAATTATTTAACAAAGAAATCCTTATTACAGCCTATGATGAAATATGACCAATGGTTTAATATAAATAAGCATTGGTTAATGATTAATTCTTAGGTCACTGGTATATGTAAAATGGAAAATAGAGGTACATCATTTATTTTCATATAAATACATCAGTAGACACCAACAAGGAATATCACATATTTCAATACATTTTTCACATCTGCATTCCTTTCTCTCTCTCTGTCTCTCTCTCTCTCTCTGTCTCTTTGCCTCTCTCTCTCTCTGTCTCTGTCTCTTTGTCTCTCTCTGCCTGTCTCTCTGTCTCTAATTGTTGTTGTTAATATGAAATGGAAGACTAATACACACAGAGGAAAATATTAGGAGAAAAATTCCAGTGAGTTGACACAGATGTAGATGTCAAACAATAGTAGATTGCAAACCGACTTTGTTTTGTACTTGGCTCTACAGAGATCAATTTCTACTGAATTCCCAAGCAGAAAATAAAGCTTTTGTGCAGTAGGTGGCACTGCTCCATCAGGCTGCACAGAACCACTCTGTCACTCCATTCAAGCAAGCAATTTTAATTTTTTTTCTTTGCACCTTCACTCAGCTCCCACACAGCACCTATCTATTATTTGAGCAGCTGGCATCATACTGTCCTGCGTCAGGAGGGCAATGCCCTGGTCGTGAGGTGATGCATTCTCTAGTCTGGAAATAGAATGTTAACTTTAGGTATTCATTTCCCCCCTTGAAAGATATTAGATGACAATTCAAATTCCATGTGGTGCTTGGCTTTTCTTGAAGGCTTTTGAAAAAGGAAACCTTGTATACTTCATTAGAAGCAGGATAATTTCTTTACTCTCATCTAAATTTGTCCTCACATCCTTTAGGCAGTTCTTTATCACAAATTGCAACCAGATAACCAAAGGAGAGGAGAGAAGCAGAGAGAGAGAGAGAGAGAGAGAGAGAGAGAGAGAATGAATCTGACTCCTAGTTCTATTAGAACAGGGGAGGAAATAATATTGATATTGTAAATCTAAGAGTAAGTGATTATTTAGTATTAGCAATATTCTAGTGCCTATCTATATGTTGTGGTTATATGTTATGGTTACATGTAAAGAAGATGATAGTACAGGAAAACATTCAGTATGGATAAAAAAATTCCACATTTATGCATGCTATGGTCTGGATCTGAATTGTCCTTCAAAGCTCATGTATCAGGGCTAGGGATGTAGCTCAGTGGAGCCATGCCTGCCTGGCAAGTACAAGGCCCTGAGTTTGATCCCAGATACAAAAAAACAAAACAAAAACTCATGTATTAAAGGCTTGGCCCCTAATGCAGAGGTGTTAAGAGGTGGGGTCTTCAGAAGCTGATTGGACCTTGAGACCTCTTACTACATTAGTAAATAATTCCATTAATGAGTTCAGAGCTTAACAGAGTGTTGAAAGTTGGTGGACACTTTACAGGCAGAGCCTAGTTGGAGAAAGTAGGTGACTGGGGGGCTGCCCTTGTCCCTGACACACCCCTCTTTCTGCTTCCTGGCTGCCATAGGCTAAGCAGCTTCACCCCTCATGTGCTCTCTGTCATGATATTCTGCTCTTCAGGGCAGGCTCAGAAACAACATGGTCAAGTGACCATGGACTGAGCCTCTAAAACTGTGAGTCAAAATAAGTCTTTCTTCCCTTAAGTTCATTTTCTCTGGTATTTTGTCATAGTAACAGAAAGCTGACTAACACAGTGAGCAAGGTAAAAATATTTTCAAGACAGCAGTAAAATCAAGACAGTATTAAGCTTCCTATGGAGTAGCATAAATGACAAAGCTAAAGATACAGATTTTCTCAAAAGAGACAATTACATAAATTTCCCAGATAAAGGAAAATTCCACAAAATGCAAATTGCAATGACTATAGATTTTCTTC